TAGTCATTTTAACAATGTTGATTCTACCAATCCATGAGCATGGTATGGTTTTACACCTGTTTATGTCTTCTGCTATTTCCTTCCTCAATGTTTCATAGTTCTCCCTGTAGAGGTCTTTTATCTCCTTAGTTAAATATATTCCTGGGTACTTTATTTTCTTTGTTGTGCTCCCCATTTTTAAAGTTGGCCAGTATCTCCATTGTCGGTGCCCTCATACAGAGCCCTCGTTTACTCTTACTTCTATTTGTGGATGAGTATTTGATGCTCACTGTCAGTCTTCATGTTGATGTTGCTCCAGTCATTTCGGTTGTTTAACGCTCTAAAGGTTTTCTCAGGAAGGATTGATGGGACCAGCATTTTGTGAATTATTTACACATTGATGATATTTGCTGCATTTATAATTGAAAGTCATTTTGGCAAGATATAAAATCCATGGCTCATGTGTCTTGCTGTGGGTATCTTAAATGTGTCCTCCATTTTCTTCTGCCATAAAGTGTTGTCAAAGTTGGCTGACAATATACTTTTCTTTCTATATTAAAATATTTGGTTTTTTGCCTGGTTATCAAAACATTTTTTTCTTCAAAGTCCAATAATTCCATCAGAATATGTCTTGCTGTTGTTGGTCATTCTGGGTTAATTTTCTGAGGTATATGATGTGCCCTTTCAGTATGTAATTTCAGATCTGTTTTTTTAATTTAAGTAAAAAATTCTTTACTTACAGACTTTAGTTATTCTGTTGCCTTGTTTTCTTTGCCTGTCGCATCCTCTTGAATAATTTTCATCCACCTTCATTTCTTTCTGATTGTAAAAATCCTTCTTTCCTCTTCTGTTTCTCTTAAGGTAGTATCTGATTATCTGTTATGTTTATTTGCCCCTGTGTTCCTTCTAGTTAGTCTTTATTTCTGAAATGATTATTTTTTTGCTGATTTGATTTATTCACATTTGTATGTCTGTATCACATGCACTGTATAAAGATATACAACTATTATGTACCCATAATAATTTTAAAAATTTACATTTAATTCTTTACTGAATTTTGTCATCTTATTTCTGAGTTGTTCTTATTCTTTTTATATATTCTAACATATTTTTTACATTTCTTTAATATCATATAACTTTTTATGTGAACTTTTTTGTGAACATCTTCATTGAAGCAGCGCTCAGGAAAAGACCACA